CTGCCGGCGGGCGGCGTGTGATGCGCCAGAGCGGGGCATGTCCCTGAGATTTCGGGATTAACGGTATGACTTCCGCACTAATCATAGTAGGCATGCAGATCGAAGGGGCCAGCAGTGTGGTTGCACTTCGTTGTTATTGCTCTTGTTGCTTGTATGTTTTTCGTCAACTTCGGCTTGTTGCCACCGTTGTTGTGCTAGCTAGCAGTAGTACTTTCATAGTGTAGTCCTGCTCAGCCGAAATACGCCAATTATTCGTAGCTTGCTCAAATATCGGTAGAAAATCATTGCAACTTGCATAGCGTGCGCGTGTGTGTATGGGCGTATGTACATACAGCTCGCCTGAGCTTCGAGTGCGTGCTATGTCTATATGTATATACGTTTGGACGTATATATGTATATATGCATATATGTATATAATTATGTGTACATTTATACATGTATGTATGCATGCATGTATGCATGCATGCATGTATGTATGGTATGCATGCATGCATGTATGTATGTATGTATGTATGTATGTATGTATGTACGTGTATGTATATGTGTATATATGTTTATATGTTTATACGTTTATATGTGTATATGTGTGCATATGTATGTATGTATGTATGTACGCACGTACGTACGTACATACATACTTGCGTACACAGCAATGCACCCCGAGATTCGCCGGTTCAGAAGACTTAGCGGTCTAGGGTTCGGATAGCGTTTGACAAGCACGGAGTGGATTGGCTAGTGGTGTTTCGCCGACATGCAGTAGTCATGTTGGTTACTGGTTGGTTCTGCAAGCTAGCAGTCCCTCTTGGAGGACCGCTGCCCATAGATCTCAGTCTCTGAGGCGTCTCGTCAGCCCTCGCAGCTGCCACGGCTTTGGCGGCAGGTGTTCTAGCGAAGAGGCCCTGTCGTGTACGGGAGCTTGTAGTTGAAGCTTCCAGATTTGTTTAGTTGAAGGATGTTGGAGGACTTCGACTCGAAGCATTCCAGGAATCGAAGGCTAAATGTGCACCGAAGTGGGTTGCAGATGTTGGGCTTAAGTAGATGAGTCAGGCGGGCGGCCAGCTCCCGGGGCGCCGTGTTGCGGAAGGCCCTGGCATGTGAGCTTCCAATCTTCGGTTCGAGGTGCGGAAGGACTCAGAAGGAAGGAGCTGGAACAGTTGACTTTGCAGGAAGGGGCTCCACTCGGTAGCTCATTGTGGGCCCACGTTCGTGAGTGTGTTGGCCCCACTTCCGTTCTCGAGGGAATGTGTTGTTGTAGCTGCAGCGACCTTATTATCTGTGTTCGGTGGTCAAACACACGGCTGCGATACCATTACTTGCTGCACTTGTCACGACCTGTAGCACATGTTGCAGGAACAAATCTCAGTTCAAGTCTAGAGCTCACCACCACCGTTTCCACCACCTCCACCACCATCTCCACCATCACCATCATCATTACCACCACCACCACCATCATCATTACCACCACCACCATCATCATTACCACCACCACCATCATCATCACCATCATCACCATCATCACCATCGTCAAAATCGCAAGTGATGCACTTGTCACGGAGCTTTGTAGAGCTCGGCCAGGCCAACGTAACTGGCCCGGGCTGGACGGATGAGCTCGCCCGGCTCTTCGACCCACGCGTGGAAGGGCCACGGGCCCAGTGGGGTTGCTGGGCAAGTTTGGGGAAAGTTCGGAGCCTGGAGGAAAGGTAGAATGCAAATGTAAACCGCAGGCGTCCCATCGTGGCACTTTCGAAGAGCACGTTCCTGTGTGCTGTCCCAACGTGGATCTTAGGAAAGAACTCACAACACCCGAGACTTGCTCCTGAGATTTCCGACATTTCTGTCGTCCCAGACAGCCCAAGCAGGCCGGATTTTGAGCCAGAGCTGGGTTACTGCGGAAGACCCCGTCTCAGACTGCTGCTGGATGCAGAGGACGCATCGAAGGGATGCCTCCTGTCCGCTGATTTGTGCTCCCATCTGAAAAATGGAAAGAAGGCAACAAAAGAAAAAAAAGCGAGAAGCCAAGAGCGCTAGAGCGAAGGAGTCTTCAAGACATGCGATTGAAATGGTCCGGGCGTCCGGACCCGCCCTGCTGCCCTGCCGCCCTGCCCTGCCCCTCCAACCCGCCCTCCCCTGCCCCCGGCCTGCAAACAGAAGAGGCAAAACAGAAGCAAACACTACAGAAACAAGACGACAAGCAAGCGAAGAACAAGCGAAATACTGTGATGAAAAGCCACCAAAAAAAGGTGGGTTCCGGCCTGAAAGCCAACACCCCGTGCTTTGTCTGTGGGATATCTTCGGATTTGGGCTTTTCGGTTCAAATTTTCGCATTGGCTAATGTCTTTTTTTTTTTTTCGAAATTTTCGGATTTGGGTGCATCAATGATTTTAGCGGGATTGGATTTTACAAGCGTAGAGCGCGGATGGTTTGTTTGAGCTTTATGGACGGACCACCGTGCATGCGCAAGTAAGCAGCTCAGCAGGACATCTGCCACTCCTATGCGAAGGTGGAACCTCAGAAAGCCGTCACCTTTTGCAGTGTCGTCGCTTCTTGTCTTGCTCAGCACAAACCCGTCATGAGAGTCGGCCCCGCCCCGTTGGAAGGCCCGGTACATGCAGACGGGCAAGTGGACAGGCCGCAGCGGGAGCTGGCAGACGTCCTCTGAAGGGACGAAGTAGCAGAAGCTTTCCCCCCCCCCCAGCTGCGGGATTTTGTTGCTTTTTCTTTTTCTGGTGGTCTTTCAGCTGGGGAGCCCCCAGAGCTTCTGGGAGCTGATCGGACTTAAAACGTGTTGATGTGTTAGTTCCACTTCTTGCGGAAGCTTAGGGTTCAAGCTTGCAGGCGGAGGTGCTGCATGGAAGATTGAATTGGACGGTTTTTGGGGACCAGGGGCCGAAATAAGAAGTACCAGAAGCTTGGACAGTACCAACTTCGCTTTGAACTACGAGGGCGTGGCATGGAGTGTGGGACCACCCGAAGCATGGAAGAACCTGGCAGACGAAGTGGAGTGGAAGAGAAGTTCTGCTGCTCTCGAGCCAAACTGCATCGACTATCCCGGGACTCAGTGCCAAGTGATATGAGAGCCATCAATAACCCGCCATCTTGGAGGCCCCCTTTCCGATGGCATCGCGAAGGCGCTGGACTACGGCGCATGGGGCGGCGGCGACGTCGAGGCACCCGGCGGGTTCCCGGCAGAGTTTCCTGCACTGTGCAGCTAAAGAGCAGAAGGTCGATATGAACAGCTTATTGATCAAAAACTTCGCTGTGCTCGCCAGGAAGTGGATCCAGCTGGGTCCCCCGGGTCCGGGGAGGGTTTGGGAATGGGGGAGGTCGGGCATTTGTTTTGCCGGGTTGCAAGCATTGCCGACTACGACAATCAAGATTGCTAAACCCTGGGCTTGAACCCCAAAACCAAAGAAACACATCCGAGAAGTTTGTTTAATGTCCGGGGAACCTTGGGCACCCCAGGCCACACTGCCAAAAACATGTCAAGCCCCATCGCAGCCTTCAGCTCCGATTAACTAAAAAAAAGAGCCCCGAAAGCTGAAAGTATCCAAACTCATCCATCCTGTACACCAGGCCTGTACCCCGCGACCCGAGAACCGCAAAATCTGGCAATCTTGTTCAGGCGCGTGTTATTCAAGTTATAACGCGACAGAGTAAGCAGCACAGAGCGACATGGCAGTCCGTCCAGAAAGTGTCGAGGACTGGTTCCACTTCGTCCCAGCTTTGCTCGACAATGAGGGTTGGCAGATTGTGTGTGACAGTTCTGCCGGCAGGTTGTTGCACCAAAACTGCCCGTGGGGTGGACATCTCGTCAGGTTCTCGTTGAAGGACATCGAAGTCCACAGCCCGCCTGCGGACACCTCGTACCTCTTCGTGCGACCGGAGACGCGTGTGTGGGCAAAGTGTACTTATCAAGGGCTCAACGAGGAGTTAACCGAGGTGGTGCAGCATTTGGCGCCCGGCCATGCCGTGGTGCGCAGGCGCTCGTCGTGGAGGTTCAATCGGCAGTGTGCCGTCTTCTTCCTTCTGCTCAGCAACAGGATTCCCAGCACGGAGATGCCTGGTGACGTATGCTGGATGGTTCGGAGGAACTACCCGCATCGCGGCGACAGCGCCTTTTTGGCGAAATGTTTGGCGGAACAACTGGAGGTTCTCGTTGTGGGCAGGCCACAGGGTCCCGGCACGTTTGCACTTGACTGGGTGTTGCGGGTGCTCTCGGTGCCAATGTGGGCATCCGTGCACTTCGAGAGCCTGCTTCAGTCAGCGAGGGACTGCACACAGTGGTTCGTGAACCGACCTGCCGTTGCTGAGATGCGCAGGAGGGACATGCAGTGCTATGCCATTCTCACCATCCAAAGCTGGCGCCGGGGTCGACCTCTGATTCCGGCAGGACTTGGAGAAGAGGACATTACGACCGTTACGATTGATGCCGGTCGGCGAGATGGGCTCACGTCGTGGGTCCGCTATGACCCTCGAATGGTCCGCAGCGGCCGCTTTCTGCTCTCGGAGTATCTCACGTTGTTCCTGCAGAGGATTGGTGAGCAAGCCACCTTCTATCAGTCCCTGGATGGGCAGGAGCTGCTGCCGTACCAGTGCGCCATTGCACGGGAAGATTGGGACCGTCTGCGTCCGCGCTTTCACCGTGCCTACGCTCTGCAAAAGGCGGCCTATCGCCGCTCGCGCGGTGGCCGGACAGCTCCGAGTTTGATTGAATCCTTGGCCCCCAGGTTTAGAGATGACCACAGTCTCGACGACTTGCAGCAGCGACTGCGCAAGTCAATCGAGGCAAAAACAGTGGTACGCAAAACCTTCGTCGAGGTCGACGACTCTGCGGACCTTGACGGGTATGCGATTTCTTTCCAACGACGCCGCACGGTGTCACCTGTGAGACACTTCTTTTGCAAAGACTTTGTACCTGCTTGCTAGATTGCCAGATCCAGGATGAGCTGAATTCATCCGGTTAAAGAGCCATGACTCACAGATGTTAGTTGAAAGCAACAGCACGACACCTGTACAGTGCCTAGTGTCTAAGTAGTTCTTCAACCTGCACCTGCTGTACAGCCGTCAGGGTTTTTGTGCCCTGAGCCAGGTTATTCTCTGTACAGGCTCTGGCTGTTGCAATGCGACAGAGGTGAGATGGTACGTTCCCTTCTGCAGGCTGACAGCCTGAGCAGCCAGGAGCAATCACGAAGCCTCGTCAGACATCAGCTGAGAGAGCATGGCTGGTCGTGGTTTGTTTATACCTTCGGCAGCTGCTGTGCATTCACCTATGCCTCATCCGACTTGGATGTACAGAAGCTGACCCTTGGAGAGTCCGAGTGTAAACGCCAGAAGAGTTGAAGCCTGCAACCCATCCTTGACCCTTACATTGTCTGTAAACAACCGGCTTGCGGTGAACCTGTTTGGTTGCCCGGAAAGCCCTGACTGTGGACCTCTGGCGGAGCCAAGGACAGGGGCCCCAACGACCCCGACATGACGCCCCCAGAGATCTTAACGTCCCTCGGCTATCGCATTTTAGGGGCTGCCTGATCAGATCTCGCATAAATTGATTTGGGACAAGCTTTGTGAATGACGGGCTACTGCTGAGATGTTCCGCGGCTGCTCCAGCAGTGGTCATTCTTGTCAGACAAGTAATTTGAGATAATGCGAAATTCTTGTAGACCTCAATGGGGACGTAAAAAAGGAAACGATTCGTGAAGGTGTGCAGGCATTTGCAGGGTGTGGCATCTTCCGGCCATCTTCTTCGAATTTGCCGACTACTTCTAGATCTTCTGACTACTAAAAGGCGCCAATGCATGCCAGGCCTCGGCTCTGACGTCTCGGGTTATGTAGTAGCCGTTACCCACTGATGTTTTCTTTTTGGGATTTGGTCTACGCCCGGTATGCAGAGGCACCTGGCCTTGAATCTTCCAGGGGGCCATGCTGTTGTGTCCACGCTGTTGCCAGCTGCGACGGTTTTCTCACTGCTACTATAGTTCCATCGGGTGCCACTAGGAAGGGATGCATAGTCTTGCCGTCGACGGCCTGAAGCAGACTTCAGGTTCGTGGGCATGCCCTCGGACTTGATCGAGGCGGGCCACCGAAGCCGGGATGTGCCACGTCCACGCAGCCACCCCCAGCCTTTGTCAAAGCTGAGCTCAAGACGATTCCTCCGGCCGCTCCGGAGGCCCTGAAGCCGGGAGACGTGGTCGACGGCTTTCCAGAGGCCTAAACTCGGATCTGAGACACTTCAAGACACAAATTTCATAGACAGGCAGGGCTTAGAAAGGGCGGAGATGGCAACCCGAACTTAGATTCGGACACTTGCTTGCCTGGGGATGAAGCCAGGGCAGGCCGTCAGAGAATTGTTTGTTTCTTCGAGCAGACCGTGCATCCCGAGAGACGCGAGGATACACGGCAAGAGCTTGGCAATGTGGTGCTCAGTGAGGACTCAGGGTTCTCAGAGAGGCTCCAGGAAGACCCAGCCTGTGTTCGATTTGGTTTCGCATGGTTTCGGGGGGTGGGAGGGATTGAGATGAAGGGGCCACCGCCACGTCACAAGTTGTGTCAAGCTGGGAGTTTGCTTCGGGATGTGCCATGACGACAGTGGCAGTCGTGCCCAATGGGGACAGAACTTCGGCCGAATCATAGCAGGTCTCAGCATTTTGACGCTTCGCTTGGGTTTTTGCACGTTGCAAATGGGTGGCTTGAACTTGCCAGCATTCAAGACGCACCCTCTGATCACTGTCCCATTCGCCTCTCCGATGCTTCCGTGGCTCAAAGCAGACGGCGAGTAGCCGGAAACGGGAACTGCAGGGCACTTAAGAGTTTCAGTTTGAGATAACGACAAAGATTCGGGGAGCCATAGGGGTCCAGACCATCCCCGCGAAATCCCACCTTGCAGCTGTTGCGCTTCCCATCGCCCGAACCTGCAGCCTCCAATCTACCCGATTTACGGTGTAAGACCACGTGCCATTCATGCAGCTCACAGCTCAAGATCACGTTCAGTCCGCTGCGGAGGCAGCCTAATGTCTTCTACCACAGGTAATCACACGTAGCTTGGGTAGCCAGTCGCCAACCAGGATTTTTCAGTCCAAGGATCGCAGGCAACAGGGGTGCCACAACCTGGGGCCGGGCTTGCCTCGGCTCTGACCAGATGAGCGCCGACTTTCGCGGCTCGGCGACGACAAGCCATCAGCCTTGAGCCCCAAACCTGTCACCCCGTGGAAAGCGACCTTGATTGAAGGCTTCAAGAGCAGTTTTTGAACCAGCTGTCGGGGTGAACACTTGCTGGGCACGAA